ATAAAATTTTAAATTCCGCTGTAAACTCTGTTCCGTACGGTATATCGAACCCAACAGAGGGTTGGTAATCTCCCTCGTTTAATACCCCCGTCTCATCAAAGAACCGAGAATGCTTCAAGGATCGCTCCGCCACCAACCCATGGGCCCCGGACGAAGACGCTTGCCGGTCAGGAGGGTCGGTTTTTTGACTTTCCGGTGGGCTCCGATCTAGCACCGACGAAGTAGACATTCTAGGGTTTAAAAACTAATGAATCAATTATTTACAAACTAGTCGAAAAAAAAAACTATGTTTGGACATTAACGAATTGCGGTAAAAAAATAGCAGATTGAAGCTTTACAAATAAATTTCTTATAAATAAGCTTATCAAACAAACTTGATATTTTTTAAAAAGTTCGTCGTATCAAACAGAGCTTAATTGAATAATTAGCTTTTTAAGAACAATCTTTTATGCTATCCTTGTCATTTGGCTTGGATAAATTTAGTTTACTCTCTATCAAAAAATAATTACGTTTGGAATAGCCATAAATATATTAGATATTTATGATATTTTTTAAGATCATTAATATTATTTTCTATTCCAGACGTGATTTATAAGATATGATTTTTCTTCCTCAATCTTTCTATTTTTCTCATCTTTCTTTAAATTATAAGTAGATTTAAAGTTTAATATTTTTTATTTATTATCGATTTTTTTATAAATAATATATCAAATTAATCATGTTTTGTTTAATTTCAAATTAAATAATATATCAAATTTAATCAATTAAGTTATAAAATTATTAAAATTTTATAATATAAGCGGGTAAGCCATATGAGCGATCTTGTTATTTTAAATATAAATAAGATTTTACTTACTAAAAAAATGTGTTTGAAAACTAAAACACTTTTTTTAATTATTATTATTTATAATTTTAAACATGAATTGTTTTTACGAACACATGTAATACACCAATATTGTACTAGTTTGTCTTGGGAGAAAAATCGCCGCAGAGAAGGATGGAAAGGAGGAAAGGGAAAAGAGGAGAGGCGATCCTAAAAGGATTGAGCCGAAGACAAAGATTTTATTGTAGAGATTTTGGATAAATAACTAGGCACCGGTAAAAAAGCCTCGTCTTGAGATCAGATGCATTTTTTTTAGAAGATATGATATGATTAGTAGAATAACATGTAAAATATAAAATTTTAAAAATATCTATACAATATGCTATTTATCAGGTTATCGAACATCAACACACTAAACCATCCACTATCATGTCCGGTTTTGGTGTGAAGCCAACAGTTGGCTTCGTGGAGCCAACCTTCTATATACAACAATTAAAATTATCATATTCTCTAATTATTTGAAAAACACTAATATAATTTTATTAATAAGATAGTTTATTTGTTGTATATAGAAGGTTGTCTCTACTATGAAGCTAACTGTTGGCTTCATAACAAAATCGCTGCCACGTAGGCTATGTTTGGTAAACCAAATAAGCTAGCTTATAGCTTATTTGGTTAGCTTATAAGCTTCATGTATTCTAATAAGCCCCGTTTGGTAGGACGAGCTTATTTAAAAAGCTCGAGCTTATTTGATAAGCTTGTTTAGGTAGCTTTTCAAATAAGCTAGTTTAATTTTTTATTCCAGCTAACTTATCAGCTAATTTTACCACACTTTTATTATACAAGCTAGCTTTTCAGCTATAAGCCATAAGCTATAAGCTATAAGCTCAAAAATTACATTTATAAGCTATAAGCTAGCTTATCAGCTATTAGCTAGCTTATCAGCTAGTTTTACCAAACATAGCCATAATAGCAAAGGAGGGTTATTATATTAGCTATCTTCTAAATACAATAAGCTTAGCCAAACAAGGTATTAATTTTGAAACCCATCGCAAAACCCCTCCATTCATATCCTCACCATCTGATACATTTGATTTTCTGTAGTCGTCAACTAGAAGATCTCACGGAAAGT